GTAAAAATGCTAACTTACTTCCGGGTTTTAGGACGCGTCACTGCGGTTCTCTATAGAGCTACCAATAACCAGAGCTGGCTTCTCAGCGGGTGTCTTGCTGAGTGGGGAATATCTGTTAGATACGTGAACGGGTTAGTGGGGACCTGCGGGTTTCGCGTTATGCCCCTTCTGAACAGTCACCCAGTCTCCCTGCTGCTCGGGAGTTGCCGGGGGACGGCTAAGAGGAGCTACCTTTTGCCGGTCCGCACCGGCTAACATGGGTTTTACTGTAGCTGAGTTACTTTCTAAGATGCGGAGCCGGGCTTTTATGGCTATGATTCCCGCCTCCAACCTAACAACTATACTACATTTAACACATGTATCGGTACCAGTAAAGGAGGTAGGGAAGTAACCAAACATGAGACAGTTAGAGCAGGAAATAGCACCCGAGGGTGGGGAAAGAGCCATGGCTAGCTATCAAGCTAAAGTAGCTACCGTTAGCAAACCCGAAAAGAGTGTAGGCAACTGTGGAGTTACAGTCGCTAAGAGAAGGAGAGTTGTGAGTGCTTAAGCTGTAGAAACGTGTGATTACAATGTCAGGCAGTTGCCGTGATCAAGAGTTTTAAAACGATCGATTAAGTTAAGATAATAAGCTATCAGCAACAGAACAGGCACACGGGATACCCGGAGATGAAAACAACAACCGGAAGTTACAACATGCTTACCGCAATAGTGGTCCGTGTAGAAACACTCCTAATTCCTGCCAAATGCCTCAAGAGCGAGGAAGTATACATACATGTATATCTTCACACAATACGTCTCCTTGCAGTATCAATAATAATTCGGCTGACTTTTATATTTGATCCAATTGGTAGATAGGCTGTATTTACACCATAACGGTGCACAGCTGCTAGAAAAGGACTTGTAGTTTTTAAAGATATTACTGATTTTCTTTGAATATAAGAATGTAAATACAATAATGAGTTGAAAGAATAGTCAGGGGTTTTGGGTGATGGGACACACACCTATGGATTCAGAATTTCAATAGCTTACCATTAAATGACGGATATACCTTTCTGTCTGTGATTTTTTACAAATCAGATATTAGAAGTAAAACATGTGAAATAATATAGCAATATCCTGTACAATTATGTGAAAACATGAATAAAACTACACATCAGATGTTGTACATACACAAGTGTCCTACACTGATAATACAAAGTTATTATGGCTGTGTGTACCTTGTGTGCGCCGCCTAGTGGTTAAAGCACGTTATTGAATTATTTGTGTATATGTCAATAAACCTTAGAAAATCTTGAAATCTTGAAAGGGATGTGCAAAATAACCATTATATACAGTCTTTAATGAACTATTAGTAGAGAATAACGAGTAATGAATATACCTTATAGAGATCTGCAGATAAATGTTTAGTCTTCTCAAGCACCAACTATTAAATATCTCGCCTGATTGTTGGCACTTGACAATCACCTTCCCTGAATTTTACTCAGGGGTAACTAAAGCCTGATTTAAGGGTTGTTTATATTTCACATCATTAATCAGAATCTGCAAAGTAACTAAAATAAATGTAGTGGAGTAAAAATACCAGGTTAACCTCTGAATTGTAGTGGAGTAGAATTACAAAGTAACAATGAGCTGTCATGTGGGTATATATTAATGCTGCGCATTATACACAAGCGATTTTCACCCATGTATTAATTATATGTTTTAAATGTGTACACACCAATTTGTTTCCTATTGCCTAAACCTCCAGGGCTGTACACAGTTTAATACTGGCAACTTCTAATGTTGGGAAACGTCTTTTAAAACTACAATTCCCAGTAGAGACGTGCCATAGAACATGTTGCGAAACACAATAGCCAGCATGTGTAGTTCTGGGGGGGCGTTCGAGTCCAGTTTTGGATAGTCTGCCGTGGTTTCGTTCGATTTCAAAGAGCTGTTTGACGTTCGCTGTAACCTTGGCGCACTGCCACTCCAACATCCAATCCCAGAGCTTGAAGATTAATCACGGGGGCCGTAGTCCCAAACGATAGCTGGGGATTATGGGTAGTGTAGTGTCTTCGGCCATCCTAAATTCCGAAATGTTTTTCAGATTTCATATCGCATTAACACCATCCCAACATGCATTGCGGCTAAAACATTCAATCACCGAGCTTAAACCATAGCTAAGGATCTTGGGTAATCAGTTCAGTGGCTGTGTATCGCATTGATGCCATGCTCGAAATGTCCCATATAGGCCCACGTCTGTTTCCGCTAATTTTTATTTTGAAATTCAGTTCCTGACGGACGCCAAAAAAGCCAGAGATTATGGAATCAAACAAATAAATAAAAACAAGGATGATTGTGTGTTATTGTTAAGTAAATAACAGTGTGTCATTTAGAAAAGAATAACAAATTAGAAGGAAAAAAAGATTTTAAAAAATACAGATTTCAGTATTTTGAGGCTCTGAGCCCCATTTATTTTCCTCACAGACGACAAAAAAAGTCAGACATTATACGATATAAAATAAAAACTATAATCGTGGCTTGATATTGAGTAAGAAGATGTTTTATGAACCCCAGAACCAGCTTTATGAACCAGCTTCCGGTCTTCCAAGACCCGACCGGACAAAAAGACGTGTTGCAGGCACGAAACATACTACCAATAGAATACATTGCTTTTAAAATCGTTCTGTGTGACACGAAAAAAGGGGGAAAATTGTGATGGTGAACACGATTCAATAGATTAAATGTTGTGACTATAACACGAAATGCCGTGAGACTGGGTTGGGTGTGGTGCACATCAACTTCTAAAACTCACAATATAGTGTGGTATGTGGTTGTATCATGCTCACTGTGCTCAGGTGTTGGGGCAATTGTGTTCTTTCTTTTCTTTCTTTTCAGTCTTTATTTCGAACAGATTAAAAAATAACAAATAAAAAATAACAAATGTGAAAAACAGAATACCGTATTGTTATAATACAGTATTTATCCACATTCATGGTAATATTTGTATATTCAACTAAAAAAACTAAAAAAATGTGTCCGAAAGGGAGTAGGAGGAAGCAAATGCTTATTAATTCCCACCCCTTACTTGATCAATCATTATTATTATTATTATTATTATCATTATACAAGTTATTCCTACATACATTTACATTTATACATATATACAATCATTTCTCATCTTCAATCACCTTTCTTCATTCTCATATTTTTCCAAAAAAGTGTTTCTGTACATCCTTTTAAACTGAATTATGCTTGTGCTTTGTTTTAACTCCTGCTCCAAACCATTCCATAAAATCACCCCACAGATTGTTATACTCATACTTCTCAGAGTTGTTCTGACCTTGAGTTGTTTAAAATGTAGATTTCCTCTCAAATTATACCCACCCTCTCTGTCTACGAACAATGTTTTTAATTTCCTAGGAAGTAGATTATGTCTGGCTCTGTACATGATTTGTGCCGTTTTAAATTTAACCAGATTAATTAACTTCAATATGTGTGACTTCAAAAATAATACATTAGTGTGTTCAATATATCCAACATTATTGATAACTCTTATAGCCCTTTTTTGTAATGTGCATAACGGCTGTAGGTTGGTTTTGTACGTGTTTCCCCAAATCTCCACACAGTAAATCAGATATGGCAATATTAGTGTGTTATATAGAGTATACAATGAGTTATAGTCCAGAATGTATCTGGCTTTTCCCAATATTCGATAGTTTTAGCCAGTTTTGCTTTTACATGAGTGATATGAGGTTTCCAGCTGATTTTGTGGTCTAAAACCACACCAAGGAACTTAATTTCATATACTCTTTCTATGTGTATGTTATCTAGTATTAATTGTATCTGTGGATTTGTTTTATGTTTTCCAAATAACATAATCTTTGTTTTGCTTATATTTAATGATAATTTGTTTGTGTCAAACCAATGTTTTTACTTTAATAATTTCTGCTGTTATCACTTCCATTAGCTCTTTCAAATTGTCACCGGAACAAAAAATATTAGTGTCATCTGCAAATAAAATACATTTCAATATATTTGATACTCTGCAAATGTCGTTGATGTGTATATTATGAACAATTACAATTATGTTCAATTTTGTTTTAATATAATGTTGTGAGCAGCAGCGTACATACCCCTGCTCTTTGTTTGGACTTTGAGATCCGGTTCATACTGCAGTCTGGTGCTGAGATACAAGCGAGGGAACACCACTGTGTATCTCACATCAAACGACACTCGCTATGGGGATGATTACAGCTGTCCGCCTAGGGAAACATGATGCTCTTTTATGTTTATTTTTATTGTAAATAGGCCAACATGTCTGCATGAAGTTTAATTTACATCTGTTCATGTTCATTTGCTGGATGGTGCGCCTGAAAGCAGTTTTGCCATTTGTAATTGCTCGACTATTATAGGGTGGTGCAGTGATGAGGTATATTTGTTGGCCGACCCGGAAGATAAAAGCAATGGGATTTTTCTATTGGATTTTGGAATATTGCAGAAAATAAGAACTGTGGAAACAACTGTTATGAAAAAGGACTCCAATGGAGGAGTAAATGCACTCACCAGAAGAAAAAAGTGAATGTTCGGCTATAAACAAACTACATCACAATGTCACATGGCTTCGCATCGCTACCGCTAAGCTATAAGCGGCTAATGTTCAGCATGATAGTCTTATTTAGTCACTTTTTAGAAACTGCTGTTTTCAAGACATATAAACTTCAGACACTTAAGTGGAGTATTAACTGATGTATGATGCTTGTGTTAAGCACATACCAGATTTCAGGCATCTAACCAAAAACACATTCTAAATTTGAGACGAGGGAACCTGGGAGTACTCAAATGCTAACTTATTTCAGCTTTTAGGACTCATTCCTGCACCCTCTATTGTTGTGGGTGTAAATGTTTTATGTGCTAAGATTGACTGTTCCAGTAATCAGTACTTATCCTATTTCTTATAAATGCTCTTTCAATGGATAATGCTGTTGTGCTAATGACTTTATTTTTGCTTGCTGTAGCCATCATGGCGTTCCTGTTTGACCTGAAGGCGCTGGTTGACATGATGTCCATTGGAACTCTGCTGGCCTACTCGCTGGTCGCTGTGTGTGTACTGATCCTCAGGTGGGTACATCTATAAATAAATAAGAAATCTTATTTGGTGCAATATTGGGAAATAGTTTCCCTTTTCTAAAAACCCAGAGGTATGATTAGTGTTATTGCATCACACTGCTGATGTAAAACCTGTGAATACTCCCATTGTATGAGTGTGGAGTGGCAGCTTGAGTGAATGGAGGTGTTTACTTCCTGTAATTTCTAAACTCTGGAGCTGCTGTACACCTCTGCACCGAGGGGATTCATCACCACAGCAGCAGCAAACACAGAAACCCTGTTTGTTCCCTTGTTTAAACTGTTTGTTATGTGAAGTAAAACTAAACCACCCCACTATTACATAACGAAAGTGAGATTGGGAGTCATGTCTTCCTCAATATGTAAGCATTTTGATGTGAGTTATACAAGTAATAGTATTATTTTTCTGTTGGTCTTTTATTATTGTTATTATTATTATAAAAATATATATATATTATTTCCTTTTTTTATTGAATATTTTGTGTTTTTTAACTTAATTTTTTATTTCATTTAATAATAATAATAATAATAATAATAATAATAATAATACATGAGACTTGTATAGCGCTTTTCAGGAAACTCAAAGACGCTTTGACAGAGAATAAAAAAAAAAAATAGAGAGATAAACAAAACAGAAAATAGGGGGGGGGGTGGTCAGTGGTTGAATGTAGTGTTGAACAGGTGGGTTTTGAGTGATGTTTTGAATGCTGTGAGGGAGGAAGAATCTCTGATGGATTGGGGTAGTGAGTTCCAGAGGGTGGGTGCAGCAACGGAGAAGGCTCTGCCGCCCCAGGACTTGAGGTTGGTCCGGGTGGGGAGGGACAGGAGGTTGGCAGTAGCAGAGCGGAGGGAGCGAGTGGGAGTGTGTCTGTGGAGGAGGTCAGTCAGGTAGGATGGGGCCAGGTTATGGAGGGCTTTGTATGTCATCAGGAGGACCTTGTACTGAATTCTCTGGGGGATGGGGAGCCAGTGGAGCTTGATGAGGACGGGTGTAATGTGTTCACGGATTCGGGTGTGGGTGAGTAGACGGGCGGCAGAGTTCTAGATGTATTGAAGATTGTTGAGGATTTTTGCAGGTGAACCGTAGAGGAGGCTGCTGCAATAGTCCAGACGGGAGGTGATGAAGGCGTGGATGAGGGTTTCTGCAGCAGTGGGGGAGAGGGATGGACGTAGACGGGCGATGTTTTTGAGGTGGAAGAAGGCTGTCTTGGTGATCTGTTTGATGTATTTGTTGTAGGAGAGGGTTTGGTCAAATATGATGCCTAGGTTCCGGATGTGAGGGGAGGTTTGAACTGGGAAGCAGTCTATGTTGAGGGTGAAGTTATGGATAGGTGTGGTGAGCTTTTTTGGTCCAATGATTATTATCTCAGATTTATCGCAGTTGAGTTTCAGGAAATTGAGTTGGAGCCAGGATTTGATTTCAGTGATGCAGTTTGTCAGGATGGTGTGGGTAGCAGTGAAGATGGACTTGGTGGAGATGAGAAGCTGGATGTCGTCGGCAAAGCAGTGGAATTGAAGTCCATGACGGCGGATTAAGTGACCAAGGGGAAGCAGGTAGAGGATGAAGAGGAGGGGGCCGAGAACTGAACCTTGGGGGACACCTTGGGGGAGGGGAGCGGTGGGGGATTTGCAGTTATTGATGTAGATGAACTGGTTTTTTGTCCGAGAGGTATGATGTGAACCAAAAGAGGGCAGTGCCGGTGATGTTGAAGGTGGTTTCAAGACGGGTGAGGAGGATGGAGTGATTGATGGTGTTGAAAGCAGCGCTGAGGTCAAGGAGGATGAGGATGTTGAGGTTACCGGCGTCGGAGGAGAGGAGAAGGTCATTTGTGATTTTGAGGAGTGGGGTTTCGGTACTGTGGTTTGTCATTTAAGAGTGATCTTGTGTCATTGCTATTATGTTTGTTTGTATAGAAAAAAAGCATGACAAGTTGTTGGTATTATTATTACTAATATAATGTTTTTAAATCAAAGTTGTATGCTTATTATGATTATTGTTTTCATTTATTAATTTGAAGATGTCTTTTTTTTGTATCTTGGACATTATACTAATTTATATGGGGAAAAAAGCATGCTATGTTTTGTTGTACACAATAGCAAATATTTTAAACAATAGCTTTTTGGAGCAGAATAAAGGATACTGTATATATCCAGGTAGTGTTTCTTCCAGACACTGAAAACACTGAACATTATCCTGTATTATTTTGCCCACTTATGACATTCATTTTTAACTCCTGTGTTGTCCAGGTACCAGCCCGATGGAGCCATGGAGCGACGGGCAGGCCCTGGTGAGAGGGACTATCTCTCCTCTGAGGAGGGGGAGTCTGACCTCACAGAGTCTGAGTCTCACCTTAACATGCTGAAGGGGGGCAGCTCCACCCTGCAGGCCGTCCTGCACCCGCCTGCCTCTCCCTCTGAGCATTCCTCCAGCGTGGTCAACATGTCTGTCTGTGTGCTCGGTAAGCAAGCTAAGGTAAAACAAATTATTTTACCTATGTGATAAAAACATTTCAGAATTAAATGTGTTTTCAAACCGCAGTGCTGGTAGTGTGCGTGATGAGCTATCTCACCACGTACCACATCTACAACATCCTTGATTTGGAGGGGTGGATCCTGGCCTCGCTATTTGTATGCCTGCTTATCTTCAGCGGCTGTGTGTTCATGGTCTGCAGGCAGCCTCAGACCACCAAGAAGGTCTCCTTCATGGTAGGTGGCAACTCAATTGGTGCATTATGGGATCAGAGATCCATTACAAATACATTGATGTTTTTTTTGCTACACAGGTTCCCCTTCTGCCTTTTCTGCCAATTGTGAGCGTATTTGTCAATATTTACCTCATGGTGCAGCTGAGTGGAGATACCTGGATACGTTTCTCTGTGTGGATGGCTGTGGGTGAGTCCTGTGTAAAGCCCTATTATGCTTGTGGGTAGTCCTATAGTGTGTTATATAGGTTTTCGTGCATGTAAATGGTCTGCAAAGGCTACAATCCTAAAGTTCCCTCAAGAGGGAGTTTCTCTCCTACACGCAAATCCCCCCTGCCTGAAACGCCTCCATTGGAGTCCTTTTATCGTAACATAGTGACAATGGGCAAGCACTAACAAATTGTACATGATAGGCTAAGGAGTGGACATAGCAAACTGCTATCCTGGCCTTGTCTGAAGGTACTCTGTCTATTCAGGGAGCAGTGACCTCCTGTCATATTGTTTGACGTTAGCATATCATATATTAGCTAGCTTTATTGCCCTGATAACAATAACCTGTAAAACTAAAACACAGCATATTTAAAAGTAAATGCTTTAAAAGGCAGCATATCAAAGTCAACAATATCTACCAACAGTCATAATCCTTAAACCCTTAGTAATTCTGTTGTCGCAGGTTAGATTGTCCAAATAAAAGAAAATTGCTTTGGTCCCTGAGAAGCTACGTTAGCCTTAGCATCTACTGCGTCCAATAATATGGTCAGTAAACTATTTACCTTCAGATTAAGTCCTACTACCTAATTTGGGTGTTGTTGTCAAGCTAATTAACTGCCTACTGCCTCTTGCTTCATGTTTAGTGAAAATACATGAGTTGTATTGATCTTCAGATCTTAATCTAAGCAAGAAGGCAAGCATTTCCAAAAATGTCCAACTCAATCACAAAAAAATGTGTTTCCGTAGCCAGTTTTTTTTTAGCATCTCACATTTCTTCCATTATCCTAGGCTTCTTGATCTACTTTGGCTACGGCATGTGGCACAGTGTTGAGCGCCAGCGCAAACTCCAGAGCCCTTCAAACAGCAACAACCAGGAACACAAGAAGGCCGGCGGGGAGAAGCAGGCGGCAGGAGGAAAAGACCAGGAGGGTTTCATCTGCCCAGAAAAAACCAGCCAGTGTTAAAAGTAAAAGACTCTGTGAGGCGACAGATGCATAAAAGCAAACCGCAGCTCTGCCTTGATGCACCTGTTCATACAGCTTCACCACGTGTTCCTCAGTCTCAGCACATTCAGCCTGCAAGGGCAGTGTCAGTTCTCTGTATCAGGGGCAGCATGATGCTGAGCTGCTGCATCACTGAGATGGACACTCATCCTGTAGATCACAATGCGCTTTATGGACAGCATGGAGGCAGAAATAAAAGGACAGGTAACACACTGGAGAGTGATGTTGATTTACTTTAACAGTGAATCAGTCGATTGAAGACTGCAGTGACACTTTCTCTTTCTGTATGGACTTTTTAGTGCATGAAACACTTTTAGTCTTTTCTATCAATCTTTGTATTTGTTATCTTCAGAAGCCCAGGGAAGCAAGTGAGAAAAGAAAATTCTGGTGATTCATTTTCTAAGTCGATCTAAATGGTTTTCTCTGGTAAAGGGTGGAACAAAAGTTGTCATGTTATAAGTTCCTCTAAAAAATCAATGATAGCTGGGGGGAAAAGTATTGGGAGGTTTTGGGTGTTTTATGTTTGTTTGTTTGTTGTTGTAATATCTCCATCTGTAATATGGATTGATTATCCTAGCCAAACCTTTTCCTTAAGTCATAAACATAAATGAAAACCAATTTAGATCGGACTTGGAAAATTAACCACCAAATGTTTTATTTCTTTTGCCGTCACACTTGCATATTAGGGTTTCCGTATCGTCAGGCATGTATGTGGGTTTTTGAATGTGAAACCTTGGAAATCTGTGTTATCCTTTCATTGCTCCAGAGTATTATTATTAGATTTTGATACACCAATTATGTACTACTATTAAAAGTAACATTAGTTTTTGGTAGAAGGACTCGTTGTTCTTTGACATAAGTGTAGGATGCTGAAAAAGTAGCAGCGTTAGCTTTAATGCCCATCATCATAAGGTTAAAATATATTATAGAACTGTTTTGTGCATAATTGTTTTATATGCACACATTTGAAATGTTTATATATGTATAAAAAGATCAGCATTTAGACCAATGTACAATATGTTCAATAGTTTTTTAGGTACTTAACATGTTTTGACTCAGCTGATGGAAGTACGCCAAGTGCTTCTGTAGGTGTTATGTAACAGATCGTATCAATCTTTGCTGTAGGGTTATTGAGGTAACTGTAGCTTTTTTCAACACAGGGTTCATTTTTATATATTTGCTTTGATGTGTTTTTATCTATGGACTGTTACAGCTGAATATGAAAATTGTTGTTTGATACAGAACTCGACCCGAAAAGTATTTTTAATCGTAGTATTTTTCACTCTATCAGACTATGACACTGTATGTATGATATGTTGTGCTGTTTTGATACAGACATGCTGATATTTTAGCCTTCATAGACTTAATTAGACTTTGAAACAACATATTAAAAGTTGAAAGTATTACTGTATAATCAGGTCTGGATTGAGACACAATTTAGCAATCATTTTCCCAGGTTGTCCTTCTTCAAAGCCTGTTCTGCTTTTTAACCGGTTTGAACATTGAGACATTTTGTGCTGAACTAAATCAAGTTTCAAATCTTTCATTTCTTCCTCTGAGGCCACCTTTTTTTTTTCTTCTATTAACTGTAAGTCTTATTGAGCACCAGTGTTTCACACTAAGCCTATATACTCTTTCATGAGGTCACACACTGAGGCTGTAGGATGTTGGTGATTGGTTGAAATGTGCAGTGGTTTAAATGAATGTGGAACAAATTCAGAAGCTAGTCTCAACAGGAGTAATGTAACTGTACTGAAGCTATAGATTAACAGTGATGTTAAAGTAAATAGAAGTTATAGTGCCATGATGTAGTATCACTGCACAGACAAAATACTATAATGTATTTTCCAGTAGAATCGTGTTTAGTATTTTCTTTTTTTAAATTACAATGTGGTTGAATTTCAGTCCGAATTTTTATTGTAAATAAATGTATTAAAAAAATACCTTTCAAACTCAATGTCCCGTAGCCTCTCTGAACACCATGAAACTCTGCGTTGTGTTTGTTATTGGTGATGGGATGTTATGCAGAGGGGTGGAAAACAGGACACAGTAGATCGGATTGCGGTGGAGACGCTGAGTAGCGATGTATTCTTCACAATTCTTCTGACACACCTTTTGCGGAGTGAATACAAACATTAGCCCATTAGCTACATGCTAACCAATACAATAACCAAATGAACAGACAAAACATAAACATCTCACTCCCAAACATACACAAACGGGTAAATAAACATTTAAACTAACCCATTAATTAAATAAATTGAATGTTTGGATGTTTTTAACATAATAATGTGTACAATTGTTTTCCGCCATTAACACCGCTCACCTTTTGCGGAGTGAATACAAACATTAGCACCAAGATGGCGGCCGCACCCAGAACAACAAGAGAAATACGGTGTCCCACAATGGACAAAAAACAACAATTTGCTGCGCAACAGCAACACCTAGTGGCCTGTCAAGGCTGTTACCTTACATCTACCCCTTCTTTAATTGATGGCGTCCCAGCCATCAGGCCAAACAAAATACAACAAAGGCCATGGAGCACAAACAATTTAAACAGTTAAAGAGAAACAAATAACCTTTCTGTATGTATGATTGTCTTATAAAATGTGTGCGTGTTATACATTTTAACAGTCAGAATGTTGTGGCTTGATTGTGTCACCCCTGTCCTGCTTCTCTACTGCTTTGGCCCTTTGCCACAACTTCCATCCCCTTTCTCTCCTCCTCTGGTCCTCTTCCGAACTCAGGACTTGTGACTCACATGACTGTCTCTTCGGGGCACAACGATTTCTTGGTGGATTTCTCCTAGGAGCCTTGTCAAGTGATTTGGTGTCACTCACAGTCTTACTTTCCTCATCTCCTTCATCCATTTGTCCTTCATCCACATCCACTTCCTCCATTTGTTTGGGCTCATCGTGTACCACTGGTGTCCAAGGTCCCACATTCTCCTCAACTTCCTCTGTATGATCGATCTCACAGTCCTCTGCTGCATCCGATTCAACCTCTTCTCCTATCACTTCACTGACTCGTTCCACTGGAAGGAACATACACTGTGTGAGGAGGTTGCGGTGCACCACCCTCTCTCTCTCGCTGTCCTCCAATCGTATCACATACAGGTGTGTTGAATTGTTTCTTCACCACAATGTATGGACGTGCCTCCCATCTGTCTCCCAGTTTCTGCCGTCCCTCCACATGACATACTTTGACAAGGACTCTATCCCCCGGTATGAAGACTTGACCCTTTGCTTTTCTGTCATAGTGCTTTTTCTGTTGAGCCTTAGCATGCCGAGAGGTTTCATTAGCCTGTGCATATGCCTGTGACAGACTGTCGTACAGCATTTGGACATAATCACTTTATCCACGTGGCTCACTTGCGGTGGAAAGCCCCAAAATCAGGTCCACTGGGAGCCTAGAATGTCTCCCAAACATCAGGTAGTATGGTGTGTAACCCGTTGAATCATGCTGTGTGCAGTTATAGGCATGTGTCATTGCGTCAAGATGCTCATGCCAGCGGGGGTTTCAAGTGTTGGCTCCAAGGTCCCCAGCATGTTCATGAGGGTCCGGTTGAACCTTTCGGTGGTCCCGTTGCCTTGTGGGTGGTAAGGGGTGGTATGAGTCTTTGTGATGCCAGTGCACTTACACAGCTCCTTCACAACTGTACTTTCAAAGTTGCGCCCTTGGTCCGCATGCAGCTTCGCAGGGAACCCAAACCGGCAGAAGAAGTTTTTCCACAGTGTTTTAGCCACTGTAGAGGCCTTTTGGTCTTTTGTCGGGTAGGCCTGGGCGTAGCGGGAAAAGTGGTCTGTAACCACAAGCACATTTTCTATGCCACCTTTGGACTTCTCCAGAGTCAGAAAGTCCACACACACCAGCTCCATTGGGGCACTGCTGTGGATACTGACCAGGGGAGCCCTGGAGCCTGCAGTAGGGGTCTTCCGGATACAGCACCTTTCACACTGCTCACACCAAGCCTTGATTTCTTGAAACATTCTTGGCCAGTAGATTCTCTCCCTTATCATTTGCAACGTCCTCTCGAATCCTAAATGCCCTGAATCATCATGGAGAGCAGTCTTTACTGCTGTATGCAGTTTCTCTGGCAATACTAGTTGCTCCACTACTCCCCTTTGGCCATCCTGGATGTGGCGGTACATGATACCATCCCTAACCATTAACCTCCTCCACTCTTTTAAAAGAAGGCACACCTGCCCACCACCACTGACCCTCTCGCTGCGGCTTGGTTTCCGGTTCAAACTTTTGTAGTGCAAGACGGGGCCAATGACAGAGTCCTCCTTCTGCCCCACACGGATCTCCTGTTTTGTCATGGCAAGCAGGGATTCCGTCCCCACCTCCCTGTAGGGCTCACTTGACATGCCCGGCCCAAGGTCTTGTGAGTCAGGGTTCTCTGTGGCAGTGTTCTCATCAGGGGGCCCTCCTGGTTCTAGTGTGGGCTGTGTCTCCCCATGCACTCTCACATTGATCCCCACCCGCTGAGGACAGGTTTGTAGGACCTGTGTGACCTCCTGGTTTGACATACTGGAGAGGGCATCTGCATTTGCGTTACATTGTCCCCTCCGATACTGGATGTCAAAGTGAAATGTAGACAGCCGAGACACCCATCGCTGACCGGTAGCATCCAGCTTTGCAGAGGACATCACATATTTGAGGGGGTTGTTATCCGTCTGGACAGAGAATGGACGCCCATAGAGATGGTCGTAAAACTTGTCTGTCACTGCCCACTTCAGAGCAAGGAACTCCAGTTTGTGTGCAGGATACCTCGACTCGGCCGGGCTCAAGCCTCTGCTCGCATAGGCTATGACTCTCTCAGCTCCATCCTGGACTTGAACCAAGACAGCACCAAGCCCCTGTCCCGACGCATCGGTCTGAAGCACAAAAGGTAGGCTGTAATCCGGGTAACCCAGTACTGGAGCAGTCGTCAACTTTTGCTTCAGGGACTGAAAGGCTTCTTCACACTCTGTAGTCCACAAAAAGGGCAGCTCAGGACCCAAACTTGTCTTCCTTCCTCTTATTTTCTTCCTGGGGTCACCAGTTGTCAGGCGGTATAAAGGAGCAGCGATGCTCGAGTAGCCACCAACGTACCGCCTGTAATATCCAGCAAACCCTAAGAACTGCAACACTTCCTTCCTGTTTGTGGGCCTCACCCAGTCCCTGACTTTGCTGATCTTCTCTGGGTCTGTCCTGATCCCCTCCGCCGATACCAAGTGACCCAAGTACTGCACTTCCTTTCTCACAAGCTGGCACTTGGAAGGCTTTAACTTCAAGCCATGTTCATGAAGCCGATCAAACACCAGCTGCAACCTCTCCAGATGGTCATCAAAGGTTTTGGAGAAGATGATGAGGTCGTCAAGGTAGATCAAGAGGTGGGTGAAGTTCAGATCCCCAAAACAGCAGGTCATGAGCCTCTGGAAGGTGGACGGAGCATTCTGCAGTCCGAAGGGCATCCTGTTGGCCTCAAACATCCCCATGGGTGTGCTGAATGCTGTCTTGTGCTTGTCTTGTTCCGCTACCTCCACCTGCCAGTAACCAGATGTGAGGTCAAGTGTGGAAAAGTACTTTGCTTGCCCCAGAGCCTCCAGGGCCTCTTCTATTCTGGGCAGGGGAAATGCGTCTCTCGTGCTGTAGGAGTTTAGCTTTCTGTAGTCAATGCACAACCTTAATGACCCGTCTTTCTTAGTCACAATCACCACTGGGGACGCATATGGACTCTTACTAGGCCTGATGACTCCTGTCGCCTCCATCTCTATCAACAACTTCCGCACATCTTGCCACTGTGAAGGCGGAATCTTGCGATACGGGAGCCGGAAGGGCTTGGAATCAACCAGGGGAATGTCATGCTGCATTGTTTTTGTGTGGCCGTAGTCCATGGGATGCTTGGAGAAAACACCTATGTTCCTCTCGACAAGATCTCTAAGGAGGGAGCGCTGGTGTTCATTCTCAACTGCTGCTTCACTTAGGTCCACCCCACAACTCACCACTACCTGGTCCAGACTCTGGCAGACTTCCTGACTCCCATTATTGCGACATCCACTCAGCTTTTCGTCTGGAAATTCCACAACATTGTCCACCAGGAATACATTGGCCAGGTGAGTGTGTGGCTTAATAGTAATAGCATGTTGGGACAGGTTCATCACTCTGACCGGGGCGCAGCCTTTCTTTACATCAGCCAGGACTTTGGCAACCAAGAGGTCCTGGGGAAGCTGCAAGGAGGAGTTGCTTTCAATGAGGGCAGTATAAGTCTTTCTCCGTGGGCCCGTTTTGATCTCACACCTCAAGTCCTTCTCTTTTCCTGCGGGAATTCGAATCTTGCGCCCGGTATACACAGCAGGGCCCACCTTGTCATCTGTTGCCTCACGGTCGGTGCTGCCAATCTCCAGTAGAGCGGTGTACCACTCCGGGTGGTCTTCCTTGACTCGGTGAAGAAACTGCTGGCCGTAGGTTGCTTGGAGGTGACTCCTCGAGGCCCGAATGACATTCGTTCCCACAAGCAATGGAACAGAGGAGTGATAATCAGAATCAGGGACAACAAAAGCAGGCACAGTTTTGAACTCTTTTCCCAGCACTTTCAAGTCAATTTGCAGGACACCATAGTAGGACACACTTTGACCTGCTGCACCCTCTATGGGTACTTTAGAAGGCTGCAGCTTTTGGTTCTGCAAGGCAGGGTGGTTGCACCAATATCTGTGAGTAATACTGGTTACCTGAGAGCCAGAGTCGATGAGAGCTTTGCACTTCATTCCATTGACTTCAACCTCACCCTCGTTCCGTGGGCCTACTAAGGGGGTGCCCTCTTTTCCACCAATTGATTTTTTTACTTGCTTTGGAGGATCTTGCTGCCCGCCCATGGTTGCCCCGGTTACCATGGGCTCTAAGCATTTAAATGCTGAGCTGAGTTAGGCCTGTTCTCCTCCGCAGGGGTCATAGGCTGTCGTTGGTG